AAATGCGTAGTAGTCTGGTCTCACGAAAAAGCAATTCTAGATTAGCCGCTACAACAACAGCATTACTAATGCCACTGGCGTCAATCACTGGGGTTTTTGACAGTGAGGTTTGACAGATCGCATTGATGATAAATCAACATTTAATTTAACCAGCTTGAAACACGTAAGCGCATAGATATATTAAGTTTGAGATTATTAGCAACATATCTCAACAACGCCTCTGGTTGCGTTTTGGTTAAGAATTTACCAACATGTGAGTATTTTAAGCTATGCTTTAATTCAAGCTCAGAGCAATTAGGCGCTTCGCCAACCAAGTTTGTTGTTATTGCTTGCCCGTTTCCTCTTTAGATTTTTTTCGAATCGGAACATTCGCTCTCAATCTCTGCATGCATTTCATCTGCATAGACGGGTAAGTGACCGAGGTTGGTGCCCCCTGCAGCTATTGAGACAGAATGTCGATCACTTTCGACGACGCGCTGATGAGTCAATGTATTAATTATATGCTAAGGAGCAAGTTTAGGAACAGTTTTGGCAAAACAATTCTGCTCTATTGCTGCTTTTAGACCGTCATAAAGTTTTTCAAGATTTAGGACTTTAGCACTAAGATCATCAATTTTAGAGTGAGAATCATTAGACACGACACAATAATCACGCTGCCTTACTAGATTTGGCAAGTTTGTTACTTTCCCCGTTAAGGCTCGAACTCGCGACAGACCGCACCACTTGCTATGCCTCTACTCAGCAGCCACACCAATAATTAAGTACTTATGATAAACAAGTAAGAGGTTCTAGTTGGGAGGTTCCGACTAGGGGATACCCTGAACCCTCTTCTTCCAACATATAATGCACAAATACATATATTCTATTTTAGAAGCTATATATCAAGTTTGGTGACTCTAGTTCTTATTATTCACCAAAATGGCCCAATTCTTATCGATTTCGTGGAAACGGAGTAAGTTATCTATTATCGGAAACAAACTTGATCTGCGGAGGCACTAGGAGCACCTACATCTTATTTCAAATCTCTAGCTCTTATAGGTTTTGAGATCCTTGCGTTCATACAAACGCACGAACGGACAGACAGACGGACATGGCTAGATCGACTCGGCTATTGATGCTGATTAAGAATATATATACTTTATGGGGTCGGATATGCTTCCTTCTGCCTGTTACATACATTTGCATTTTGCACAAATACAATATACCCGTTTTACCCATTTTTAATGGGTTTAGGGTATAAAAACTGACGCAAATCGAAGAGCTGATACCTCAGTATTGCACTCAACACAAATGCGAAACGTCATAACGGAAGAGAAAAACACGACCGAACGCTGCGAAGGCTCATCAAAAGATTTGTGTCACCTTTATTAGTAGCGCTAATTTTAAAGTATTTAAGGGTATATTTGTATATTTGTGCAAAATCCAAATGTATGTAACAGGCAGAAGGAAGCATCTCCGACCCCATAAAGTATATATATTCTTGATCAGCATCAATAGCCGAGTCGATCTAGCCATGTCCGTCTGTCTGTCTGTCCGTCTGTCCGTATGTATGAACGCAAGGATAACTGAACTTATAATAGCTAGAGAAATATTAGATGCAGGTGCTCCTAGTGCCTGCGCTATTCGAGTTTGTTTCCGATAATCGAAACCTTACCCCGTTTCCAAGCAATCGATAAACATCAATATCGATATCCTGTTTTTGGGCAATTTTGGTAAATAATTAGAGCTAGAGTCACCAAACATGACATGTAGCTTCTAAAATAGAATATATATTTTCATTTGATGTTAGAAGAAAATGGTTCAGGGTATCCCCTAGTGGGGAGCTCCCGACAAGAACCTCTTACTTGTATTTCTTTGAATTTGGGAGAGATTTCTTGGGTACCAAGAGAAGTGGGCTATAGAATTCTGAGATAGATGGTTCTACCATACCATATTTTATTAGTTTTTTCGACTTGCCTGTTAATTTCTGGCTTTCTGTTTTTAATAGATACAGGTGTTTTGTCTGATAATCCTAATTTTTGTCTGTAAAAATTATTACTTGCAATTGCCTCTGTTTCTAGGCCAAATATGTCACAATATTTGGTACATAAATCAGTAAGCATGTTTTTAAGTTAGTCGGGGAATTTTAATTTATTTACGACTTAATTTGTTCTATTGCTGGTATTAATGTTATTTATTTTGATTTCACATTTTTCTAGTGACTCAAATTTTATTTTGGGATTTTGAATTTATTATATTTTTGCTAGTTGTATTTAATATACGGACTATTGCGATATTACCTGGTTACCTGGGTTAGTATAAGAACTGTATCTTCATTTGTCAGATTTGGTTTTGCTGTCTGGGTCCTCTGAGCCGCCTCTATATGAGTCGCCCTCTGTTATCATTGTTTCTATTACCATTATTATTGTTATTTCTGTAGGCGCCTCTGTTGTATAGACAGTCTCTTTATTTACCTTTGCCGCGGTTTCCACCACGAGGAGAGAAATTTCGGTAATAAAGGATAGTATTAGTTTGACCGGTTACTTCTGTGCAACTATCGACAAATTTAGATACGGCATAATTCATGTTATTGAATATACCTGCCTGCATGATAAGTTTTACCCTATCTATAGCGCAGTTCTTTGTCATGGCCTTTACAGCTTGGGCTGTGCTATATTTAGTAGCTAAATCTGAATTTAAGCCATCATTAATATACGCACCTGCTAGAGCTTTTACTAATTTCTCAGCTTCTTGTGTATAAGTGTTGGGATTTTTGCTCTTTTGCAGGCTTAGGAGTTTAGCTGATTCTCCTTACCGTTTTTGATAATTTTGATATAATTTCGGCGATTATTTTTTCATCGCTTATCAAGTTTCGTGCGTGGCCTTTTAGTTTTGTCTTTATAAGACTGACAGCTGTTGCTTCATGGTCTTCTTTTAGTGAGTCTATAAGACTCAAAGCATCTTTGAAGCCTTGTAAGCTTTCTGCCTTTCCATCAAACTCTGGTAGGAGCGATGAGGCTAGTTTGAGAAAACATAGCTGTTTGCTTCATTGTGATGGCCTAGTATCAGCTGACACGGAAAGTTGTTTCTCGTCGAATGACGCTGAAGTGTTAAGAGAATGTGGAAGGAACATTGTTATATAATGCCTTTCCAAAATTCGTCTAATGCTCTTTCTTAACGTGCTTAATGCTTCAAAGGGCTGTGTTAAATGCAAATCTTTTAGTTTTGTTGCACTGTCACTTATAAGTTGACGGCTGATATTGTAAGAATCTACAAGAAGTTTTTATACCCTGAACCCATTAAAAATGGGTATACGGGTATAACAGACAGAAGGAAGCATCTCCGACCCCACAAAGTATATATATTCTTGATCAGCACCAATAGCCGAGTCGATCTAACCATGACCGTCTGTCTGTAAGTATGAACGCAAGGATCTCAGAACTTATAAGAGCTACAGACTTGAATTTAGATTTTAGATGTAGGTGCTCCTAGTGCCTGCGCAGATCGAGCTTGTTTCCAATAATCGGAACCTTACCCCGTTTCCAAGCAATCGATAAAAATCGATATCGATATCCTGTTTTTAGGCAATTTCGGTAGATAATAAGAGCTAGAGTCACCAAACTTAACATATGATGGTGGAAGAAAATGTTCAGGGTATCCCATAGTTGGGAGCTCCCGACTAGAACCTCCTACTTGTTTAACTTTGTCTCGTTTGAGACAGGTGCTCTTTTGACAAGGCACTTGAAAGATTTATTAAACTCCTCACGTTTTTCCTATGAATGGTAACGATTTGCGGCCATTCCATTTATAGACATTTTTAATTAATCTGTGCGAACAAACAATAAAAATGTCGGTAGGTCCTAAAATAGTGTTCTAATTGTTGTGTTAGTACTAATGTTACAAAATCGATCGTTCTGCCTAATATTGGGTGTTCTTTAATTACTGATTTTACTTATATACCAGGAATAGTACTTAATACTATTTCTTTTTGCATTTTTGTTATGTGAAGAAATCTCTTTGCCGAGCGATGGTCGAGAGCCCCCTAAATATCTGCCTTGTCTCTTGCTATACCCTTTTCAGATTATACAAGAAGCGACACTGATAGTTTCAAGAGGTTTCAAGAACACTAAACAAGCACCTATAAGTGGCATGTTGCGATGAGTGGTCTGCGGCTTTTGCGAGCGTAGAATGGCAACAATGTTCCGGCCGACACCATGCACGAGACACAATGTCAGCGATTTAAGGGAGTAGAACTTGCTATCACTATAAGAAATTATGTTTTGTAGAGTTACTTGAATTTTCGACAGTAAATAGTTCGATCGGTACCTACGAGCTCCTTAACTAATTTATTTGTATACGTGCTCTTTGGTAATCCATGTATCCTAAATGGATGGCCTCGTTTTTCATCAGCTTATACCTCTGAAAAACTTCATTAGTTATAATTATAATAATAATAATCATTTTTCTTTTGTGGTCTTGTGTTCTCTTTCATAATGTACAATGTTGCCCCAGATCTTTGATTGAATAATAAAATTGATTAAAAAGTTGAAGTCTATTGTAAGTTAGGTTTAGGGCGGAGCGAGAGCGCAATCAAATTTTTCTGGCACTCGCTCTGGGCCTTAAGAAGTTTATTGTAGTCAGGATAAAACTTGATAATTGTTCGTTTATGATTGTATAAAATCATTTATATTTTCATACATAAATATGCCGTATATCCCAGTATGCCTAATTGTAAATCGTATATCGATATCGATTTTTATGGATTGCTTGGAAACGGATTAAGTTATCTATTATCGGAAACAAACTCAATCTGCGCAGGCACTAGGAGCACCTACATCTAAAATTACAAGTCTCTAGCTCTTATAGGTTCTGAGATCCTTGCGTTCATACATACGGACGGACAGACAGACGGACATGGCTAGATCGACTTGGCTATTGATGCTGATCAAGAATATATATACTTTATGGGGTCTGAGATGCTTCCTTCTGCCTATTACATACATTTGGATTTTGCACAAATACAATATACCCTTATACCCATTTTTAATGGGTTCAGGGTATAAAAACAGCAGCAAACATTTCTGTGGGAACAAAATGGGCATGGAACCAAAAAAAGTTTTGCAACACATATTTCATGCGAGCCTTTTGAGATATCTTTTAAGATACTTTTTAAAATATCACAAAACGCTCGCTTGTCGTATTTCTTGCGACAGTTGTAAATGAAATGTTAACTGCCACAAACTGAACGACATATGATTCATATTGCAATCGTTTTCCGATGCGCTTGCGTGAGATTTGCCGGGTTATGTCTCGCATTTGACCAGTTTACGATATCATTTGAGAACAGTTTGATCCGCTGGGCTGCAATTCAGGTAAAACTTTTGGTGCTCTTAACTATCGTTAAGATTTCTTCAAATTGAACTCGTTTCACTGCAAAGCGGCAGCTGCTGCTTTTGTGCTCTATATAAGAAAGGGCGGAACTGATACTGCCATCATCCAGGACGATTGAGAAAATGTAGGCAACGAATCTGGAATATGGATATGGGTATGCAAACTACCAGAATTTCTGAAGTTTAAATTTCTAACAACAAAAACATCCCTAGACCTCTGTTTGGTTCGATTGCGCTCACCATTGTCATAACACGCTCATCACCCTTAGTGGGACGGCACTGGCATAAACAAAAAAAAAGGTTAGCGGCATTAAAAAAACAACCTCTTAACCAATCCCATCTATGAAATAAAATTTCGAAAAAAGTAAGCCTGTCATAAGCCATATCCCACTCAACGAACTATGCTCCTGACAATCAATATATGTTTTTACATATGAGATAGAGAGTAAAATAATTAATAATTGAGCAAAGTGAATACAGAAAAGATGAGGCCATTTGGACTGAATTAAATAGTAGATAGGAGATGGCCCATGTATTGATATGCTGTAGTCTGCAAAAATTTATCCAAATGCCGAGTACATTTCAACAATCAGGTTGTTCTCGTAGCGAGAAGCAAACTAGCTGCATAGAATGGATGAATACTCATGTCCTTAATCATTGTGCTATTACGAACGGAAACATCAGCTTCGCTCCTTTGAATCTTGCTTTATAAGGACTCGCATAGTTGAATAAAGGAGGGTCATTTTCGGACTTAAGCGGACTTTCGTGACAAGTCAGGCCAACGGGAAATTCCGAATATAAATGCTGACGTGTACACATCGTAAAACTCCTTTGACCATCTCATGATGAAACCCAAGAAAATTTTTGCCCTATTGATCACGGTTTTAACACGAGAGTCGATTTTAAGTTTATCATCAAGAATGACACCTAGTCCTTAAAATTTATTACAAGTACTGTTTACACGCTTGAGCAGTAAGCTATTAAGTGTGTAAGAAACCAGATGAGGAGGGCTTCTATAGAAAGTCATTATCTTAGATTTCGAATAGTTTAAATTTAACATGTTGACTTGACACTAAGACTGAAACGGATCAGTGTCGGCTTGTAAAATATAGCATGCAATATGTTTATATGCAAGGCATCATTTCACACCATCAGCGTATATTAATACTCGAAAGAGAGACAGTATCGAGGGAAGGTCATTGCTGCAAAGATAAAAAGTTGCTGGTCAAGATGACTATCCTGAGGAGCACCGAAAAATCACATGAGTAGATTTCGAAAAAGAATTTCTGAAAATAACCTTCTGGGCTCTGTAACGACTCTGAGATCCAGTTTAAAAGATTGACTGGGAACCAAGAAGCCATAAATTATGAAGCATTAAGTCAGTGTAGACTACTTAGTTTTCATTCTTTTCTTAAAACTATCAATTATTAATGATGTAAACTCAAGAAGATTAGTGGTTATAGACCTGCGCTTCACGACTGGTGAATAGTTAAATAATAGAGCTACATAAACGTTTTCCAAATCGACCTTACTCCCTTTCTTATAGAGAAGGATAGTAAATAATTCTTTCCATAAAGTCGGCCTACCTACTTATGAAAAAGGTGTTCAGGAAGTGTAAGCAACAAGATCAAATCAGGAGTTCTATTATGAATATTAAATTACGCACCTGATTAACCTGCCTTTAGGACATTTCATGTAGACCATCGATACATTAATAAAGGACAACAGAATTTGAATTCATTACCGATGACCAATTAACATCTGGGAAATTCAGGTTCCTAAGCACGACTTAGAGGTCCTTATCGAAAAGTAAGGATGAGATAGATTTAATAGCGTTAAGATGGCTTTGGTAGACGGGTTTGTTAAATAGTATGCGGAATATAGAAACGTGAAATAAAGATACGGAAACTTCCAAATACAACTCTTAGACACCAATTGATTTTCAAAATGGGAAGTTCTATGCGTTCCGGAGAAAGAGCAACCTCAACAGCTATGAATACTCCTTCCTAGATACGGGAAGCTCAATGTAGAATCCGAATTTTTTTTGCCTTACATTCTTTGAATTGAATGTTCCGACCAAAACTCTTTACAAAATATCTGAGTTATACCTGGGGCTTGAATATTTGCCTGTATAAAGGCTTTTACATCATCCAATGAAAAATCAGGGGCAAGCCCAGAAATAAAAATGTATATTCGGCGGAACGCCCAATAGAGGCTTAGACGCCACAACTGGAAACACTATAAGCTGTGGTACCCAAAGCAGCCGGTAGTCCGGACGATCCAGCAGCCGCTGAAAATTTAATTGTTAATTTCGCTTTGTACGAACTTTTACGACAGCGGACGATTCCGATAATTCAATTGTTCTCTCTCGTACTGGGTCACATATTTATCCAGGGCTGTGATCTCATAGTTTAGTTGGTGAAAATCAACAATCAGAACCATAAAGCCAGCCCTGGTCTGACGCATAAACGCTCGCATTTCGCAATTAGTCTTTCTACACGACTAGCAACTATAGTGCAAACCATTACTTTCGGCAATAGCATCCCTCACTACGCTATCCGTTATATGGTTTTGGCCAACTTTTTTGAAGCAGACAATTTTATAATCCATTATTAAGGATCTCTACTGTAACAAAGCGGCCAAGTGTAAAAAAATAGCCAAAAACAAAAGCGCACAAACAAAAATGCACAAGAAAACTAGTTTAAAACTAACAATATTAATATGTTTAAAATGCGCAGGACACAAGCGTGCACTCGCGATAACAGAAAAAAAAATAAACCGAGAATAATCATAATCAATGGTTTAAGAAAAAAAAAAAGAATTATTTAAGGGTTGCTAACTTATTGGTATCAGAGGGAATAGGTCCGAAGGAAAGTGTTCAATTCGATTTTTTTGATAACGTTTTTGTCTGAAAATCGATAACTTGCCCCGTGCACAAGTAATCGATCAAATCGATATCGAAATCATTTTGTTTTTTGAGAAAATTTCGTAAGATATAAGAGCTAGAGTCACCAAATTTGAAATGTTACTTCTAGAATAGTATATATATATCAAGTATCTTTCATTTAATATCTATTGCCGCCACCCCTCTGTCGCCACCACCGCGCTACCGCACCATAGCTATAAATCATGAAAATAAACCAGTTTGTATTTTCCACCAGTATAAGCCACACTTTTAATGCAATTCATTTTTCAGAATACACTATAGTACAACTGGATCTACTGTTGATAATTTCATCAAGATCGGTTAAGAAACAGAAGTTATTAAAGAAATGGTCTTCGGCTGGCCACGAGTTTGAGGCAGCAAGCGAATGCAATATTCGCTTTCTGTATATATGTTGTACAAATTAACCGAAGTGGGTTGGACAGACCCGTGGGGACCCTGGAGCTCACTTATTTACGATAGAAGTACCAGCATTTCCTCTATACCAATTTTTACCAACCGGTCAAAATGACACTTCTGTTGCTTTAAAGAAAATTTAAATATTTTACATTTTACAATGGAAAGAACATGGCATAAATATTTATAAGTATAATCAGAAAAAATATTATATATTTTTTAAGGATACATTTCGATTGCCGCATTTTTGCAAATGAATATATTTTTCAAAGTACATTTGACCGAATTATGTTTCGTACTCAGCATCATGCCCTTTTTCGTTAGCTAACTTTTATATACATACAATGAAGCATTATTAGTTCTATAAATTACAGGTCAATATAGAGGTAATATGCATTTTTTGCTTAGCAATTTTCGATAATTCCCCTTTGTTTGTGGGGATAGTTCCAACCAACGTAGACTGTTTCTCCAATAACGTAGATGCTAGTGATAAGCAGGTAAAAAAGTTGTCAGTCGTTACATTTCTACCAGAAAAATTAAACGGTTCAATTCATTTTTTCGTCCATTCCCAAATAATGGAACCCAATAGCAGCATATTTATTTTTAAGATCAGATGCTAACCAAAATTAAATTCCAAACTAATTTGGTTTGTTTGACATGTGTTGAGTGAATCTGCATCTTGCTTTTGTTTGGAATATTTGCTCGTCAATTGTAATTTTCTATCCTGGTACATGGCAATTTTGGCTATTTTTGATGAATGAATCCGAAACACGTGAAATCATTTTTCATAGCTATATTATGATCTTTAATTTTAATTGATTAATTGGTCAATGAAAATTATTAATTATCAATGAAAGAGCAATGCTCGCAGTACCCATTATTATGTTTCGTTTTCCAAACTATGTAGGTCAATTGGCTTTTTTGAAAATTGTGTGTATAAGTCTCCGACTTGGAGTGGATACAGCTTTTATTTAAACCATATAGTTATATCAGCAGCAATTTCAGCCTGGTCGTCACTCTCATCGGAATATAAATGTAGTCTCAGAGTTCTTGGTCTATGCTCATTGAGATGTTCTTTTTCTATTTTCGAACATAATAGATGTCACATATGCTATAATATTGCCAAAGGGTGTTGCAATCGCATATTTTTGTTTACATTTACACAAGCAATCGTGTGTAATCTCGAGAGTACGAGATAACGAATCTAGTACGTCAGTGATGCTTGAGTTTGGTTTTTAGAATGCTTTATTGAATATGTCTTTAAGTACGCTTAGCCTATGTACATAAGTACTCAAGGCTAAGGCCGCATAGCTGCGTTGCCGGTTACGTCAGCAGCGGAACGGCTGCATATATGTACAAATTAAGAATTAAATAAGAAGACCTCGCGGATTTTCAAAATTAATTAACGTTATATGGTTTATAAAACACTGGGCCGATACGCCGTAGCTAGTGAGTTACTTTATTCGGGAAGTTGCTGGGCCGATGTGCCTGAGTGAAAGCCGGATTAAAACTAAATTTACAAAAGATTAATCAAAATTACCTAAACTATTGTATGCTTTTCACAACGGCCGGTAGAATGCTTAGCTTGCGACTCGTGCGCTGCCGTCGTGCAAGAACATCCGGCCCAGAGCTATATCAGCATCTGAAACTGGTGTCATTGGCCTCTGTTAACTGCTCACCTTTTAATTAAAGGCCGCTCCTATCTCGGCGATCACCTACTTAATCGCCTTGGCCGATGACATTTTTTTGGTGAACTGACGGTAGGTGACTTCGATGCAAATTATGGTGCAACACACAGAACCCAACAAGAAGGCTTTTACCACGCTGTCGACGCTTCCAATTTCGTCCATTCAAGCGATGAAGGTAAGTGAGACTTGGTGGCCGGTGACGTTCAGAGGGGAGATGCCGCAATGCCGAAGAATTTACTCTGAACGTTGTTGCGATTCAAATACTTAATGTCGTTGATCAGACCCCAATTATTATGCAGCTGAATACAGCATCACCTTTCTGCAAGCCATTTTGATGTGCCAAATAAATCTAATCTTCCTACCACCCTGTGGTGCACGCCAAGAGCTTCTAACAGATCTCTGAGGTGGGACGCATCTACGCTTAGAAGCTTTCTCATTTGTGACTGCGGAAACATTTCACATAGCTCAATTGTTTCGTTTACCATATTTTCGTACTCCGAGATTGCTGTTTCTTGTTGATGACCGAATGTATTATCTTGTTATATTCAATCGTGGCTAGCATTATGACTTCGACTGAGTCACTGATGTTTCTCGCCAGCTTGAGGCAACGTACAACCTCGGCTAGAGTCCTGTGGAAGCGCTCGACTGGTTGTACGACTGCAAATTTAGAGAACTTATCAACACTGGTAAAAAAAATTGTTGTCCGTGAAAAAAATATTAATGTGAAAAAATTCTCCAGAAGTCTCAGGGATCGGAGTTTTTCCCAGCTCTTGTCTTTTCGGGTGCCTATCGTATTTGGCTGCTGAACAGATTCTACAACTTTCCGCAATTTCCTTAGCCAACTTCGCCAAATAAGGGGAATAGTATTCTGATAACATTTGCTTAACATTTTCTTGAGCTGCTCTATGCGCTCTATTATATTCGGAAACGAGAATTTCTCTTCTCTCATCAACGATGAAGACATCTGCAACTCGGTTTTTACAGTGCTAGAACTTTGTGCCTGGAAACATGCGAACTAAGCCATCCTGCATCTGTGCTAGTGTGTGCAGCTTGCATTAGAGGGCATTAACTGCATTGTGATTAATCAAGTCAAGGAAGGAGTTCATCTAGAAGGGCTGTGGGATCAGTGAAACTCACTTCATGACGCCTCTTGTCCCCGAAAAAAATCAAGTTGCGTTTGGTGGGGACGCATGCCTCTTCACTGACAATTTTATTTTGGAAACAATTAAATGGCCTTTCGGTTGACGCAATTGTATAGGTCAGATACAGCTCGCTGTGCACTGTGGCAGCGCAGGAATCATGCATGACGATTAAGAGCGTTAAGCTGTTGTCGCGATAGCGCATCAGCTACTAAATTCTCCTTGCCTGGCTTATAAAATATTCGCGCATTCGTTTCCTCAATGCGTGCCTTCCATCTTTTAATTTTGGCGTTCGGGTTTGACTCAGAAACGGCAAAAGTTAACGGTTAGTGGTCTATGAAAATGTTAATGACTATTATCCCATATAGGTAGTGACGTAGCTTGCTAAGGGCTCAAACTATAGCCAAAAGTTCCCGCTCGTTGGTGGCATTAGTTCACCTCCGGGGGTTTCAATGTTCTGGAAACCATTGAGATGGGGCGACCCTCTTGAGAAAGCACTGCCCATATGCTGTAAGCTGAAGCGTCTGTCGTTAGATCAAACGGCTTCTTAAAGTCAGAGTATCTGAGCATGACGTTTTCTGGTGACAAAATGCTGTGTAGCTTTTGGAATGCGTGACGCTGAAGCTCAGAGAATTCTACCGGGATGTTTCGCGATCTATGTTTAGTTACTGACCCATTCTAGACCTTAAGAAGATCAGAAATGGGTTTTGCTATTGAGGCAAGTTCTTTGATGAAACAGGCGTTTCATCTATACTATAGGTTTAGTTACTGGCCAGTCCTAAAAATTATCTGCTCTCGAATATATTCTTTGGTTCTGGGAACTCCTGAATCGCTTTGACTTTTTCAGGGTCCATTGTAGGTCCATTACTGGTTACCACAAAACCAAGAAAACCTATGCTTTTCTTAAAAAACGCGATTTTTCTTGGGGATTCTCATATTTGCCTCGTACAGGCTCTTTAAGACCCACTCTACATGTTGGACATGAGAATTTTCGACTTTTGAGAAAACGATGACATCGTCAACATAGACATAGCAAGATTTGCAAATGTGCTCACGCAGTACGTCGTGAACAGTTCTTTGGAAGATGCTGGGAAGTCGACAAAATTCGTACTTCCCCCCGTTAACTGCAAAGGCTGTTTTTTCACGGTCATGCTCTGCTAGCGTGATTTGATGATAGCCGGATTTTAGGTCCGATGTCGAAAAGTATTTAGCTTTGCCAATATTCCCCGAAATCATTGGAATGTAAGGTATAGGCTATCTGTCTGCGATGGTTTTCTCGTTAAGTTTGCGAAAATCTATTACGAGGCGGATATTCTTGTTACCAAACTTGTCTGTTCCCTTCTTGTCCACCATCCAAATAGGGTTGTTGTAGGGGAAAACAGATTTTTTGATGATATCGTTCTTCAGAAGACTTTTAATCTCTTTATTAACAAATTCCGCTGCTCCCATGCGATAGGGGTACAGTCGGACATAAACTGGTTGTTCATCAGTGGTCCTGATAGTGGCCACCACTGATGTGTTATAGGGAAGTGCTTCTTCCGGAACCGCGAAGGCCTTATGAATGCTTTTTGGCATCTTTAGGAATGCATCTTTTGCAGCATCGGGCGCGTCGGCGCAGTCAACATTGGTAAAGTTAACATCCGCGCACCTGTGGAATTCGATTTGTTCAGTTTCTGCGCCACAAGAAAGACAAAGTGATATTCCTGCTTGCGTGAGCAAGTCGAGCCTCACAATTCCATCAAATGTGGGCAGGTCTGGGAGTAAGAAAAATGTGGCAGTTTTGCCGAGCAGAGATATAAGGCACTTATGAGTGGTCTTCGTGGTGCCGTGTATCGAATGGGTAGAGAAGGAAGAATGTATTAGGCACAGACCTTTTAGATTTTTATGCGGCCTGATATAATTCATGGAAGCGCCCGTGTCGATGAGAAATCTCATCTGGATCTCTGCTACTCTCCTCCTGAGGTAGGGCAGCAGGTTGCTTCCCCAAATAAATTGAGAATGTCTGAGTCATACCCGCTACCATTGTCGTCGGCAATTTGCTGTTCTGCTGCTGCTGCAAAGCTGGCATACGAACCTGAATCTTGATCAGGCTTAAACGCCCAGACGTGGCCGTTCTTTTGTAGGCTTGATGAGCGCTAGAGTTATCGTAGGCTGGTGATTGCGATGGTTGTAGAATTTTTGACACAGATGGATCGACGTCCATTGGTTCCTGTGACCCGCCACCTTTGTTCCACCTACCACTCTGTTGCTCAAATTGACTTTGTTGCTGTTCATTACATTGGACGTCGTTTCTGATTTCCACCCGCTCAAAATACTGGCAGATATTCCGCTGGCGAATTCTTGTATCCGAGCGTTTAAGGAAGCCCTCAGTTCTACATCTCTTTGCTTTAATACTGCGCTATGTGCTTTTAAGGCGGAGGCCACTCCGGCCCGCACCAAAGCCCTTAGCTGCTCAGGCTTCATTCCTATTTTACACCTGTTGTCAGCGATTTTTTGCGGGACGGCTTCCCTATCTAGGGTGGTGGAGTCGTCTGACTTAGATCCGCTCGCAGAGCGGTCTCTGTACCTGAGAAACGAGCTGTTCATGGACTATACTGTTAATAATAATAACAACACAATTTCAAGGCAACTCAACAAAAGTTAATAATATGAATGCTAACAGAGGAGAGTTGATTGAAAATTGCTGATGAATGCAAAATTGTGTTACTCAAAGTAAGTTGGTAACACAATTACTGCAATTTTAATATTTCCCACTTATGTATTTTTGGATATTATTTTAAATAAATCTCGCAAATTGAAAAAAGATTGTGCCAAATAATGGCCCACTTACATTTTATTTGTTCCTACAAGGATTGTATGCTCTACGTCTAAAACTTCGGCTTCCCACGCTGCAGTCACGAATGCTTTTTTATGATCCCTCGCTGAAGTCTATTGGTGCTGGTTTACTTCGCTGCCCAAACCCCCTTGCGCGCTGGTTTGGTGACAAGTCGCTGCCTCAAGAGCTCCAGCGGTTTCGGTGTATCAAATGGATTTTTATTGGACTTGTACCGCTGACGTAAATTGATGTAGGTCAGGCACAACTTTTATTGTTTCCACTGGTAGTTTGGGTATTGCTATTACACAGCGCGAAGTGTCTTGTACTGGTAGATTAGTTCTTTACACTGTACGGCACACAAAATAGTTACAACACAAAATGGTCCGAAAAACGTTGGGCGCCAATTAAGATTTAAATAAGAAGTCCTCGCGGATTTTCGTTATAGGACTTTATTTTGATTATTTTATTATTTGGGTAAAACACTAGGCCGATACGCCGTAGCAAGTGAGTTAATTTATGCGCGAACCGCCAGGCATATATGCCTCTGTGAAAGCTGAATTAAAACTATATTTATAAAATTTTGATCAAAATTACCTAAGCCGTTTCACAACGGCCGCTAGAATGCGTAGCTTGCGCCTCGTACGCTGTCGTCGTGCAAGAACATCCATGCGCTATGTCAGCATCTGTGGTTGGTGTTATACTGCATTTTGCTGATCCCTGTTAACTCGTAAGCACATCCGGCCCAGTGCTATATCAGCATCTGGAGCTGGTGTCGTTGGCCTCTGTTAACTTGTATATCTTGGCTTCGTATTTAAAATATCTGTTTTCCTGCATACAAAATTTAACTTGTACCATAAATGGTTGTTTAGGTATACTTCTGAGTTCTTCTAACTTGTTCTATTTTTGTCTTATTGTGTCAAGTCAACGACAATACAACAAAATGTTTCTTTGCAGTTTGATTTTTTGAAAATTGAGAACGCAAACGAAATCTGTACCATTGCCCTCTCACAGCCGAGAGAGCAAGAAAGCTAAAAATAGAGTGTGCTCTCATCTTCGGTTCTACTGAGGGCCGTGCAAGCCATTATGTTTGTATGTGTTTGAATATACATACATAACAGCATATTTGAATGTGTTGTTATCCACTGCTCTGGCAAAGTCTCTGGCTGACAAAGAAATAACTTTCTTAGTTTTTAAGCGCTGATCATGACCTATCCCAAATTTGAGTTGACATGCATGCTGTGTACTGAGGTTGGTTTCGTAAAAATTATTTATTTTTAAGTTAAATATATAAAATAATAATATTTTTACTTTCCCATTAAGAAATAAAAAAGTGCTAAGAAATACAAATCAAACATTAATTTGTATAAATAAATGTGAATTTGGACCCAAAATTTAGTTACTATGTGATTTATACAATACAAAAATACAATTTATAAATATATATTCAAGACAACAATTATGATCTTTTATTTCCTAATTTAATTTGTATTACTTAAAACTAATATTAATTTAATTAATAACTTGATTTAAACAAGTTTTATAAGCATTTGCATCGACTTAAAAATACTTATTTTCTACGGAGTCAGTACACCACATGCATTCATATGTGGATGCAAAATTAGGGTAAGTCATAATCAGCGCTAATAAACTAACTAAATTAATTTCTTTCAGCTAAAGCCAAAGAAGTGAATAACAAGGCACATATACATATGTTTAAGTTCTTATACATGCGTAAATCACGTATACAACCAAAGGTGCTAGCACGCCATTGGCTGAGACAAGAACTTTTCTTGAGCATACTCTGTCCAAAAACAAAAGTGAAATCAATATGTGTATGATATTTTCTTAACACAGTTATTGCACAAGATGCGCCTTGTAAAAAAGTTATTTAATTCTTAAATTTTCCTGTAAAAGTTCAAAACTTTTTCGCTCAATGTACTTCGAAAAATAAGCGAAATTGTAAAAATCAGTTTAGGAAGACAGGCTAGAAATTTTTCATCGCATGCAAATGTATTATTCATCTTATAGCCTCTGTCCACTGAACACATTTCTGACACATTTCAGAAACTGCCACAATTTTTACAAATGTATAAAATGCGCCCTGTTCGTTTCCCCATAGGAAAACACATATCACACATCTCTCAAAAAGGCACATTTTTCAGAAATGTGTAAATTGCGATGATTAATCGAGATTTCTATGGCTGTTGTGAAAAATGGTAAAGTATCGTAAACATAAACAGCTGATATATCAACGAAGGCAAGCGGCAACATTAAATAAGAAATTTAGAAATAGAGTAATCCCACAGACTTAAACATGGCGAAATCTCGAAAAGAGTACCTAAAATGGAGCCCTTACTTCGGGAGCGCAATTTTTTAGATTTGGAAGAAGAACTTTACGGTGCTAATGTAAATTAAAGAAACTCGATCAGCTGTTTATTTTAAAAATCGGTTCTTTCGTCAACCACATGTTACCGCCAACCGGTGGAACACCAATATGTAAAATTTGAAAATGTGACATTTCTTAAACCAGTGGACAGAGGCTATTAGTGTTCAGATTGTCTTTAGTCAAGTGCTGTTTCGAACTTAAACTTGTTCATCCGTTTCCAGCGTTCCACTGTTCACTGCGTTGTCGCCTCATATTTGAGGTTATTTCTCTCCGCTGTTATCAAAGTCTGAGGCTCTTTAGAAGCCTATTATGCTAATTGATACCGACAACGCTAGTAAAAAACGGCTTTCCGTTCGGGCAATACAGCACAGAAGGTCAATAATACTTCTACATACTTTGATAAAAGAAGATACTTCAGCCGTTTACGGGTTGCCCCTTCTTCCAAAGAAAAGTAAGCGATCCAAGCCACTTCTTCAAAGGTCTCCTCCAACCAATCATTGAATATATAATTTTCAAGAAAATGGCTCACAGTGAATTTGTTGCCGTGAATGACAGACAAATTCTACAAGAATTTTCACATCTCCGAATACGTAAGGAGATTTCGATGCTGAAAGTTTCGCCGACACAAACATTAACAATCAAAATCTAAAAAAACAACAATTAAAGAAAACACCATTAAATAAGGAACAAATTGAAAGAGTTGGTTCTGGCACAAATGGATCCACGTTGAGGCCGCAGGCTGAATATCCGGCATATCTTTTCCCGGCGTAAAACCAGAAGGACGGACCCAAGGAGCAGCAGCGGCGAGATATTGGCAATATCGAACCTGTGAGTTAGTTCCGGGAAGTCATTCCTCCATGCAAGTTAAAGGCAGAGGCCGGAGATCTGGAGCAGTCATCCGAGATTTAGTGCGGTTTTCTTTTTCTGCAACTCAGAATTAATATCATTAGATTATTTTTTTTTATTTTTTTATGCCTTTATATACCTAAATATATAGTTCAATTTAAAAACATTATAATAAATTAAATATTAAATACATGCCAGAACAATGCACATTTGCATGCATATATACACTTAAATAACACTGGCTATCGCACCTTACCAATCCCATATTTCACTTTATTAATTTCTTGGCACATATATATACAAATTAATTTAATTTAATTGATAAACTGTACTAGGCGTCAATGCCCGTTTACTACCTCACAAAGACCGTTCTTAGCTTGGTCACTCGGCGCATGCATGCCTGTGTCATGTTACGCCGTTTGGTATGTTGCACGAATCAGCTACTTTGTAGGGTGTGCAAGACAGGACGACTCTGAATGAAGGCCATCCTCAGAAATTAAATTTTAATGATTCTGCCAGCTCTGTTTGTCGTCTGATCTTTAGACGGCGCCAAAGAAGGTAAATGATTATGTAGAGTAAGAAAACCACGACCAGGGTCGGTGCAGCTGTAGAGGACTCGTCTACTTAGTAATTTATCCTGTGTTGCGGCTTTTTCATCCTCAGTGCGTAAATGAAAGATAAACTGAGTCGTTCTAGATGTTTCTTAACATTAACTTGGGCCATAGCTCAATAGTTGTTTGCATATAGGTCCCAGAGATTTGCTGGCCGATCCCGTTACTATCCTTGACGTGTATGATTGCGTCATTGGTAATAATTATTCCTTTGACGATTAGAGTAACCGGGTCATTTGGACATTGTCACATTGCGCGACAGTTCCAGAGTGTAAGTTTTTGTCTGCGATCTCCTGCAGAAGATAATTCTAACCGATATTTGCATTTACAAATGCAGCTAACTAAGAACAGTGGATTATTGTTTTTTTTTTTTATACCCTGAGCCCATTGAAAATGGGTATAAGCGTATATTGTATTTGTGCAAAACGCAAATGTATGTAACAAGCATAAGGAGGCATCTTTGACCCCAAAAATTAATATTCTTGATCAGCATCAATAGCCGAGTCGATCTAGCCGTGTCCGTCTGTTTGTCCGTCCTTCTGGCCGTATACATAAGCGCGAGAGTCTCAGAACCTATAAGAGCTAAAGACTTTAAATTTTAGATGTAGGTGCCTCTGCGCAGATCGAGTTTGTTTCCGATAATCGATAACTTACTCCGTTTCCAAGCAATCGATAAGAATCTATATCGACATTTGACATCGACACCAAACATGATATGTTGCCTCTAGAATATTATATATCTGTCCAGCATCTATCTACCTATCGCCACCACCCCTCTACCGCCCCACAGCTATAAATTAAGATAATAACCCAACTTGCAATTGGTTATTTGAGAATACACAAATATTGTATGGTACAATAAGATATACTGTAGATAATTTCATATAGATTGGATAAGAAAAATCCAAAGTTTTTTTTTATGTAAATGCGCAATTGTTTATAGAACATCTGACGTAACAGTCAGCACCGGTCATTCGGCGCAAGGCAAAGTTTTGTCTTCGATTTGTACGGTATGCAATTCCCCAAACCTAGATACCGTATCTCCAAGTTGGCGCCACCACGACTATGTGAACTGCCTGTTTACAGCGAAGTGGCAATGGGCTGTTGGGGCTTAGTAGCCAGTTGGCATTTGCCATCTTAAAGCGGCACTGCTCGCGAAGGCCGTCGATGGTAAGGTAAGCCTCGTATCCAGTACAATTCCAAGAAACTTGGCGCTTATGCCAGGGTGAAGGGGGCTGCCATCTATCCCGACTGCTAGAACCCTGCCACGCCTCAGTGTGTAGTTGACCGCCTGGCATTTCGATGCACTGAGCTTTATGTTCCACCTGTTAGCACAGTTCTCACGCAAGTGGATGTATTCCTGGGCCCTATCAGTCGCTTCGTACTTACAGTGGATGGTGTAAAATATTGCCACATCATCCGAAATGTGGCCATCAAGTGTTTGCCTGGGGTGGTGAACTCATCGAGAGAGTTCTCAGTTGAGAGTGATTGACGTGTTTTACTTGTGCTCCAAAATTTGTATATATTTTTGCGCATTAATCCTGCTTTTTATTTCAAAATGTTGAATTTTTCGGTGCTTTATTTAAAAAGCTTTTATAAACTGTGCAAAGTGTTATCTGTTGTGCAGCGTAAGTCTGTTTATTATTGCATTTATAAAACGCGGCGTCAGTTCCGTGTTGTTGTTATTGCCTGTTTTGATTCTTTTGCTTTGTTGCTCCCCTGTGCATACACTTGTTTGTGCGTGTGTTTGCTGCATACTTTCTGCTTGTGCATCGCGCTCTCGCAAATTTTTTCTATTGCTTTTCGCTCCAAAAAATTTGTTTGTGTACGAATAATTGTTTTTTGAGTGTTTACTTGCTCTATCTTGTGCACCGTTTTCGTTTTGATCTGCGCTCTCGCAACTTGCATACGCATTTAATAATTATGTCGTGCTGTAAGAAACCGTGCACGTTCAAGTAGGCTGATGATTCTGCACTGCCGGAATTTGTTAATTGCTGGCTGTGTGAGAATATGATGCATGCTAAATGTGCAGGTCTCACTGGGCGTGATTGCGATAAGATCGCTGGTATTTCTTGTA